CCGGGCTCGTCCGCATCCCCATGCTCATCCCCATCCCCATCCCACTTGGGCGCACGTGCTGGCAGGCAGGGGCAGCTGCCCGCTCAGCAACACCCATGGGTGCTGCTGCACCGCTGTGCGCGGGTTCGCGAGCCCCCGAGCACCCCCCACGCAGGCAGCGGGCCCCTGGGGGGCTGCRTCCTCACTGCCACGGCCTCGGCCCACACATCCCGGGTCCCCGGGCTGCAGCACAGGGCCCTACAACCACCCCACAAAGAAGGGGGGCCCAAGCAGCACAGGGGGCCGCGGAGTCTCCAAAGTCCCCATGGCTGCTCTGCCACCACAGGCAGTCACCCCCCTGCCCTCCTCTGCTGTGCCCAGAGGCCCAAAGCTGCGCCCAGGCTGGGTCTGTGCCTGGGGACGCTGTGCTCCAGGCTGGCAGTGGCAGCGCTCGCGGCAGGGTCCTGCCCTGCCGTGGGGACGGGTCCCTCCGGGGCCTCCCCAAGCAACGGAGCCAGATTCCACATCCCACCAACTGCCCAGAGGGCGGCAAGCGCCCTCGGTTGGTCCCACCATAGCGCGGCTGCAGCCCACAGCCCTGCCGGAGATGGCCCTGGTGGAGCGTGGCAGCCGGCGCTCCCCCTGCTCCGCAGCTGCCCGATCGATTCGCTATTAAACGGCACTTTATTCCCAGCCCAGCAATCRTTACTAAGTGTGTGTGAGCAGGGCTCGGGGGAGCCGGTGCCTCCAGAGCACAGGGAGGCGCCTTCCAGAGGGATCCGGGGAAAGCTCYCCCTTCCCGGCTCTCCGCCTTGCGGAGCGCAGTGCGGTGCGGGCAGGCACGGACCCCTCCCGGGCGCCCAGCGCAACACTGCGGGCAGGGAGCTGCCGCGCGAGCACGCTCCGCGCCTCATATTTAATGCATGGGAGCTGCCATTTTCCCCTCGTTGGGCAGGCTCCGGCGCGCTCCCCCCGCTGCGGCGCGGCTCCCGAGCCGCCTGCCGCGCACACAGCTCGCCCGCGCTCCGGCAGAGCCCRGCTAATTAGGGGCCTCGGTGCCGTGGGATCAGCGACCTGATTCCTTCAGCAGCTTCGCGCTGGCGGGAGGGTGAGGCGGGGGGAGAGGCTTTTCTCTAAGCCGCAGCCGAGAGACAAATTTAACCAAGTGGAAAGGCTCCGAGCTTTCCCGGTGCACCACACCAGGACAAGGCAGCCCGTGCCTTCCCAGCACTTGCGGCAGCCTGGGATCCCATTGGAGAGGGGCTGACCATCACTGACAGCTGTGTGTGAGGCACAGGGAAGTCCTCTCCTGCCACCCTGGATGGAGTTCCAGGCCATTCATGGAAAGCGCTTTTCCTTCTACATCATTTGTGTTTCCTCCCACAGTAGCTGCTGCTTGCCCTGCCACCATCTGCTTCTTGCTGAGCTCCCCTCCCTTTGCACTGGCCCCGTTTCTCCCAAGGGACACGCTCACACACGTGGGTCCAATCCGTGCCGGAAGGACCTGTGCGGGACCAGGAATTAGCCCAGGTTCCCTGCACCCTCCTGCGTGACTCCCTGCCCACCGGCAGGGCAGGAGCTGCCCCCTCCGAGGGAGCCGGGAATTCCTCTGGCAGCCGGCAGGGAAGAGAACAGCCAGAGTCTTCCACCCCTGCTGCTCTATCCCCATGGTCCCCACCAGGAGCACCCTTGTCTAGATGTTGTTGTGGCAGCTCCCCTTGCTGCCGCCTCCTCCCTGTGTGCTTCCCTGGGCACCTCAAGCTGTCCAGCCCCTGCCTGCAGCTTCCCTCAGCACAGCTCCGTGGCCTGCCAGCGTCTCCTGCTCTGCAGCTCCACTGCGTCCTCCTCTTGCAAACACCCTGGTGCGGAGCTGGGCCACCGGTGGCRCAGTGACCCGCGTGGTGACGCCCCGCACGGTGCTCCCGGGCCKGACTGGAGCGAGGAGCAGGCTGCACGCAGCACCGCGCGCGCACGCTGCCCTCCTGCTCGCGCAGCCACAGCCAGGCCCTTCCCGTCCCGCAGCCGCTGCTTCACGCACTGCGGGGGGCTAAGGGCCGTGTTGGGGCTCGCTGGCTTAGTGCGGCCTCGCGCTGGGGACAGGCACTCTGCTGGCACACGGATGTTCCTCACCCGCTTACCAAAGGGCTACGGAAACCGTGAGCAGGGCCCGCAGGAGATGAGTGCTCCTGATTCCCAGCGCGGCCAAGGCATCCGAGCTCCGGCGTCATCCCCCCGCAGAGGGCTCCAGGGAACAGATTATGTTCCCCCAGC